CTTTTTTTTTTTTTCCATTTTTGCAATTTTTTGGTCCTTTCATTTTGGTAATTATACGAAGCAAGATAACAAGAACCATAAAGAGCAGAGAAATTTAAAACTAAATCCTGCTAATATTAAACATAAGAAAAAGAAGTATTTGTTGGAGAAGTCCTGGATTCCCTGAGGAAGAATCTTACTCACAGCTGACTAAGTCCATTTTTTCCTCCTAGGGTATAAGGAACTTGTACAGGCAAACTGTGTATCTTTGGAAGCTCATTCCTTTTTCATAAAAGCTCTTAAAAAGAGGAACCAAAATAGTAGTGGTGTTTCTGATAAAACCGTAATAGTTGGCAGTTCTCCAAACCAGTTATTTCTGGTGAAGGACAAGAGTTTAGCTTTCTAAAGCATAAGGCATGTAAATTGATGCTGTAACTTCTTATTTTAATGCGAGACAAGTTTTTAGTTATTTTCCCTGCCCCGTAGCGCTGCAGAACCAGAAGAACTGTAGAGAACTAAGAGTCATCTTCTCTTCCTGAGTGCATGAGAGAAGTTACAGTGACTTCACAATGTTTTGTCCATACACACATTCCATTGTGGATGGAAATGTACTTCAAGTACATCAGAGATTTTCATACAAGTACGACCCAGTCAGCATGTACACGCCCTGTTTTATTTCTTAATTTCCTTCCAACTACTGAAGCACAAATGCAAAAGACTAACAGAATAAGGGGAGAGATGGCAGAGTAAGAGACAAACACCACACCAAAAAAAGAAATCCAAACGTGTGCACGCATGCATGTAGAGGGGCAAGTAGTTTGTTTTTTTTTTTTACTGTGTATCATGTGCACATTGCTCATTCACCTTTAGGCCGGTCTCAGAAACATACATGAAAAGCAACTAGAGGAATACAGACTGTAACAATGTCATGTTTGGTAAGAGGGCCAACTCTGCCAATCTGGAGTTGAAGATTTCAGAGGGAGACTATAAATACAGCCTAGTGCTCTCATCGCTACTGGTGGAGTTACCTTTTCAGTTCTGATCAGACAGGCAGTCTGTAGTCCATTTGATCTGCTGCCCGACATGGAGATTATTACCATATCCCAAAGAGCCAAGGCACAAACTACCGCAGATTTCTATACCAGTCCCATGGAGGTAAGCGTCTGCAAGGTGAAGCAAGCCTAAACGTGGTACATACACTATTCTGAGCAAACAAATAAACATCCCAGCACACAGACATGTTTTGGGGGAAATAAATCCCACCGCAGTGGATTTCATGGTCATTACAGACCTTTGCCCCAGCCTGTGAAGATCCAAACATCATGACCACATCCTGGAAGATCCAGCATCAAGAAAAGGAAGCTCGGAGATCCTTGACAGCGAACAAGATTAGAGAAACCAGAACTCTGTTGGTCAAATTGGAGCCAGTAGAATTAATTCTGACACATCCTCAAGACAGGACACCACTCAGAAAAATGATGTTAGCAATGCATTGGGATCCTGTATCTACCAAGATTAATGAACCTAAGATCACAGCTAGCAAATGCAATAAATGCTGTAGCCCTGGCTAGATCATTAAGTAGCAAAGGGAAAAACCAACATTCATCTCCATCTTTCTGCAAAGGCGAAAGTCCTCTTGATTCTAATATCAGTTCTGAAAGCTTGAAACCTCCAAGTTTCATTGTGTTCCATGCAGGACAACAAAGCAGTAGAGCTGGATGGATACGAGATGGTGATTTATGTCACCTAATGAATTCCAGTTGAGATCTTCCTTTAATTTCTCTCAAATTCAACAAAAATGTTGAGGTTCATCAGAGAAACATTGTGTGCTTGTTTGTTCTGGACAGTAGTAGTGCTGACAGTGTGAGCATCACCCGTCTTCTGAAGAAAAAGACCACACTGGAAAAGGGTTTTCAGCATCTTGCATTCAAGGTCCAACGCTGACCGCAAGATTTACCCAGAAGGCAAACATGGAACATGGCAAGTGAGTACATCTGTACAGCACATTGAGGGGACGCAACCTTGCCAGTCAGTGGAAGTAATCTGCCTCCTCACCAGTGGCAGATAGGGTCCTGATGCCCAATTTCAAACTCCATACGCCTTGTAGACTGACAAAAAAATGGGATATTGGAGCCTTTAAAAAAACAAAGTCAAACAGTCTATGCAAAGATGCCTTCCATCTTTCTAAAAAGCCATCAAACCAAAATCAAATGATGCAGAGGTGGAAAGGGGTCTGAGTACTAGGTACCAAAACAGAAATGAGAAAGTTCTCAAAATGTGGCTCTAAGGGATTGGTCCAGATGTCCTCTCAAAAATATTAGTGAGGACAGAAAGACAAACAGGAACTTTCTAACCTCAGCAGATAACATCAAGAGAGCCAGAAACCTTGAAGAACACACACAGGCGTAAATGAATGTACAGATGGAGAGTAACTCAAAGTGTAGCTGTTAATGCCTAACCGTAAAGGTGTATTATTCCCACAATGCACCCATGCGCAAATTTGAAAGCAGTAGCATTACACAGGTCAAGCTAAGGGCAGGACCACTGGTATAGATATTACACAAACAAGTACTATTCAGCTCAGGTTTTAGTCACCAGAAGAATTTCTGTAGTGAGAACAGAAAAGCAGGCATTTAAGACAAGCAAAATAGGACTAACTTTTCCAAATTATATTTTTACAGTCACTTTTCAATTAAGTCAAATTGTCCCATTTATTCCTTTATTCTACAAGGAACAGAAATTACATTACTGCAGTGGCATACCATCACACCTCAGGATCTCAAGTGTTTCTGCTCTCTATGATAGGGTGCTTGCTGCATATAGCAACAAGCCTTTTTAGGCAGGGCGGGAGAATCTTTCCCTGTGGCATTTACATAATTTCACATAGTAAATCTCTAATGTATTTATAGACACATATCATTTGCATGTGTATATATATAAGTAGAGAGCAAGCAAGAAGTCTTTTCTTACTAGCTTTCTTTTTTTAAAAAAGTTTAAGGAATACTTTTTATCCTACTCAGGCTTTTTTCGCAACATCACATCACTCCGGTTTAAACCCTACCTCCTTGCCTCCCCACAGAACTTCCTGTTAACCACAACATTTGAAAGTAATTGAAAGTAAAGGGGGAAGGGTGGGATAATGTTTATTATTTGGGGTGGGGGAGAGGTTTTGTTTGTTTGTTTTTTGTAGGGGTTTGGGGTTTTTTTGTTTTTTTACAAGCAAGCATTGTCACATTTTGTCAGAGGCTTATAACATAGCTCATTTTTTCTGATTTTTAGCTAACTTGCTTCTGAGGCAGGAGTAACACCCATTTTCTGTAAAACCATACAAACCTGTTAGACAGTTTTCTTCTCTTCCCCTTCTTGCAATTATAATGGTAACAACAGTTAAAAAGATTTTTTTTTTAAATTCTGTAACAGAACTACTAAAATAATTTCCTTACAGTATAACATAGGCTATATGGAGTGCTGCCAGCATGCCAACTGATATCTTGTTATTTTCTTGTACTCTACCAAAGTCTTATCTCTAGTCTTAATTTATGCAGTCACAAGAGTGTAGGACAGTATTTTTGTTCAGTCCCTTGTAAAATTAACTTTGGGCTTATAATTACTTGTCATGCTTTGTATCCCTGATAACACTATCCGTTCCATCAGCATCTTTACTGAAACACATAAACGACTTACCTGGGAGTGTTTAGCAATTACTCATCCAACCTTGTCAGTTATATGGGCCCAAGAGTTTTACCATGGCTCACCACTTTCCCCCCTTTATTAAAAAATAAGTTATTCAAATAAATGTATCTACTACTAAACAATCTGACTGATCAGCACAAGTTATTATCATGGGCTGGATAAAACAAAAATCAAGATTGGCAAGCATAACTATTTTATTGTGGCAATAACCAGAGACAGCTTTAGTTTCTGTTATGAAACAATGGGTATCAAACAGGTATATGAGGAAAGGCATTAAAATTAGGCTGATGAGACTTCAGTATTACCTGAATATATATATATGGAGATAAAAAGAACAATAGAAAACTTAAAGTAAAACCACAAGAAAAAGCAAGGGTGGTCTTGGGCGGGGGGGGGGGGGGGGCGCAGGAACAGACAGACACGGACACCAAACCCCAAGAATTTCTGAGTAAGCATGGATGGAAAGAGGTTGGGTTTGTGCAAAAGGCCACATTCAAACCCTCTATTTTAGACTTTGCAGCGGCCCCAAAATAGGACATGCATCTCCTATACAATCCACAGTGAGAGGCAAGTGCTTTCACAGGGCCCTCATTCACTGTACCTAAGCACTTCAGTAACGTGTTTCTGTTTCCTTTAGAGAAAGCGCATTGGGGCACGCATGGACAGCTACAGAATGTAGCTGTTCAAAATTAAGCTACCCAATTGACTGTAAATATTCTCAGAGTTAACTTGTTCTGGATAACAAGCATGGTGAGTTACTCTCCTGGTCTTAAGCATCAACGCCGCATTTCAGTTGGCATTCAAGTAATCTCTGAGATACATCTTGTTCAATTATTTTTTCCCTGTGTTGAGAACACACAGATCACATTTTCCTAACTCAAGAAACAAGATGCTATAAAAAAAGATGTTTGTTATCATATTCTGCTTCTAGAGAAAACCAAGCCATAAGGACGTTAAATCTACTCTACCAACTGACTCAAAATAGTAATGCAATTTTAGTATGAAGTACAAATATATCCACTGTGAAGACAGAAGAACATTCCAAAAAAAGAAAAAAGGCAAAAAGACCCAAACCAAAAACATCTTTTTACCTTAAAATTTTTAGTTACATGTTTTAAATAGCCCAGACAAATTCAGAATTAACAATGAAAGACTGACATTAAAACAAGAATTGAGACTACAACATGGAAATTGCTTATGAAAATGAATGTTACATTTAAAAATATTAGCAAAGTCAAATGAATGTTGTGGTCAGTTAACATTTTAGTAGCTTAACCAAAAAAAAAAAAAACCAAACTATCTGCTCCCCCCAGTTTGTAGACACCATTTTTTTTTTCCCCTTCCCCCACATTTGTAGGTTAACACTATTTTTTAAGTAAGTTTTCTTAGAAGTTACCTATGGATGCAAAGAAAATGATGGCAAGAAAGTCACGTATTGGTTCAATACAGGACATAATCTCCTCAGTAACCATGTGACCCTGAGAAGAGATCAGAGCTCCGGCTAAGAAGCATCCCAGCTCCATTGAAACATCCAACAGCTCTGTGATCTGTCAAGGAATAACAGAAAAATCTATTGCTGTGTCCTTTAACCCTGAGTGACCTTATATACCATTTCACAGTGAAATTGTAAAACTATACATTGTACTGAATGTAGGAAATTACTATGTCTTTATGCAAGTTCAACAAATAGAATGCAGCATATTTCAGTGTTCTGCAGTATTGTATTTATACAAAGGACTCAAAAAACCAGTTTCCCCTCCATGTTATCTCCTTCCCCACAAAAACAAAAATAAATTTCTTAATATATATTGTAATGCTTTGTGTCACTCTTAAGGATAGCATCTGATTTCACAAAAACGAGAAAGACCATAACAGCTTTGGAGTCAGGATTGCATAATACATTGAGGCTGTGAAATAAAGCAGTAAGAACAGCATATTTTTCAGCTGTCAAACAAGGGGAAAAATAAAAATCAAAGCTTATAATTTGGGAGAATAGTCTCAATTTAGCAGGTCCCAGACATAAATTACATTTTATTATTGTAAATTGGACTTAAATGTGCCTGTGTGCTTTACTGAATAGGGCTGCATTTAAGCATGTGAAGTAAACTGCTGAAATGAAGCACGACATCTTTTTGAAAGAATTCAGACTGCTCTTCATTCTTTTTTGTTATTTGAATACGGTACTAGAAGGAAGAGATGAAACACATGTAAAGAGACTGAACTGAAAACAAAGGAACTGCTTAAGGCAATGCTCAGAACATTAAAAAAAGCAAGCAGAGCTTTTAGTCAGTATAAAGTATGTTTTAAAATAATTACTTTAAAACCATGCTGCTGCAGATGGTCATCTTACTGAGAAAGGGCGATGCTATTAATATTAATAGACCATTTAAAACTGAAGACTTGTTTCCATACTAATTTAGATTCAGCAACAACACACCATAGTACATTTATGGACAACATTCGTCATATCTTGATCGGTGTTACACTGTAAGGTATGAAGCTAAAACTCAAGTGACTTGAAATTAATGGAGGAAAGCAAAAGACACAATAAACAAATCTCCAAGCTATGCATAAAATGCCACCAATATACAAAAGTCTGGGGTTTATTTTTAGAAGTACTAATGTCTGAATGCTCCATAACTCCATTTGTGCTAACAGTCTGTAATTTATTGCAAGACATTTAAGAAAATGAATTGGTTCTGTCAACTAATGCAAATGGTTGCTGATCAGGCAAAACCAATAAGAGGTAACACTATAATGTTACTCTCATTTTAAAACAAAAGGAATTTCAGTGTTTTTCACCACAATTTGAAATTGTAAGAGGGAAGAAGGAAATATGTTAATGGTTGGACTGGATGATCTTAAAGGTCTTTTCCAACCTAAATGATTGTATGATATATATATAAGGCTTTAAAACTACCAAAAGATGAACAAGATAAAGGAAACAGTTATGATCAGGAAACATTTAAGTTGTTCTCATATAGTCGCTTTAAAACTCACAACCTCTTGAGTATGATTAAGATCCAATATAGCCTCTTCAAATAAAGTTGGAATTATTTTTACTATTCAGCAATAATCCCCACACACTTACATGTTAGCAGCAGTAACAGAGCTCCAGATCAAAACTTTTATAGCTAATATTTTAAGTATTCACGTGTACATGGTTAGGCTACCATGTAAGAAGGGATGTAGCATCTCTTGTATCGGAATTGTGTGATACTGTGCTGTTGTGAGAATCACTATGAAGCAAGGAACAATTTAAGTGTGAAAAACATGCTTGTTCAGAAAGCATCAGACATAACTGGAGCAAACTGTATGTCTGTTTGGGTTTGCTCCCACCGCATAAAAACTGAATTCCATTCCATCACTCTGCGGCAAGCTAAGTATGAGCTCAAGGGTCTGGTAGATAAAAAGGCAAATGTTGCTATTTCTTGTCTACTCTCTAGGTACTACACAACTTTGGGTCGACAAAATCTAAGTCACTCTACACACATAAAAGTGTGAAAGGGATGAGAAGGCAAGAAAACAACAAAAAATTACTTTTTTTTTTTTTAAACTCCATCCCCCCTCCTCCAGTCTGTTCTTCAAATTTATATCTAGATTTATACAGAGACTCCTTTTACCATTCCCAACCTGCTCTCTGCTTGTCTGATAATATTACCAATAAGTGGATACATTTTCTCAACTAAATCTGTAGCATCAGGGTTTATTATATATAATGTGTGGGTGCATGCACACATACACACTGGAGAGGGTTTGTTTTACTGGCAGGAAGGCATTCTCCACAAAATTTCTTATACAAGCAAAACTTGGAAAGTATTTTGCATTTTATATTCCCTCTCTGCTTGCATAATTTTTAATGCTTTGTCTCTACCAAACAGGGCTCTAACAATTACTAATCCCTGGGTTCTGCACTGTCCTTTTCTCAACTCCTACATTACAGAAAGCTTTTTCAGTCAAAATTAAATGAAAAGTTTTGTCAATTTACATCGTTTTCCCAGTACAATTTAGTTTTCAGTTGTTTTCAAAGGTTCCATTTTACTCTAATTCAGAAAGGATTGCTTTGCTTTCAGTAGAATATTGGATTTTTATGTTCAAATGTTCTACCACAGCAATAAATAAAGAAAAAAACCATTACTGCTATAACACATTCCAGCTGAATTTCAACCATTTGTTCAGCAGTTGTTTTGCCTATATTCTCTAATAATGCGTATCTTATTGCTAGTCTTTAATCATCATAGAAGCTTAATTAATATGGTAAGCCAGTAAAATTAAAGAAATCCCTGATGTGAAATAAATGTATTAGAAATTCAGGCTTTAATAACTTAAATCTGCCCAAAAGTAAAGAGATTAATTCTAAGCTTGCATTTTAAGGCAGTAGAGCCTTAATGGAAATGGAAACAATTTTTAGTGAGCCTTGTAAAAACTTCATCTCAACTGTATTTTATTAAATAATTAACTAAAATATTGGAAATTACAGTTCTTCCTTAATCATCTCCTTTTAATTAATCAAAAAAGAGTTCATAAGCAGGTTATGAGCCATTGAGAAGTACTCCAGGCAAACAAGGAATGACATTCTTAATACACTGCCGGGAAAAGCATGTACATTTTCATAATATAAAGTACTGCAATAACATAGCTATATTTTCTTTTCATCGTTTTGGTATATAAAGCAAACTGGCAATTTCTCTCAGTTTGCTGCCATCATCCCAGGTCAAACATAATGCAGTCAAACTGGAAGCCACGCCCCCCCATGTATGCACAGTCCTATAAACATGTAAATGTAACTGCTGTCCTTCTTGTCAGGTCAGGTTTTATTTTTTTCCAATTCCTTAATAACATTCAGCAGATGAGTTTTAAAACATAACAAAACTGACCACTGTTGTCCTGCAGATATCAAATACAGCAATTCATTATCAGGATAGTGTTTTAAACAATTTTCCTTGTAAAGTTTCTGTACATACAGAACATGAAAAAGCAACACTACACCAGCAAACACTCTGGCTGACTTATAACATGTTCTTCAGCCCATTGTGGTATATAGCTTGACCTAAAAGTACCAGTTTGGCCACCAATCCTAAATGGTCATATTTAAAACCATAACCTAGATTTGCTCTTTATGTTGCATTCAGGAGAACAGTTTCCCAATTTAAAAAAAAAAAAAAAAAAAAAGGCAGTATCTGCATAACTCAAAGCTTGAAACGGAGTTGCTGAAAGTGTAATAACGATCTGCTGCAACTCTGTCACTGATGACAAGGTACATGATTGAAAGATGCACAACTGTGTCTCGAAGTCAGACTTTTACAGGACTGGCACTGGACACAATCCCCACTCCAATCTGCCTAACTAGTTGAGGGGAAAAAGGGAGGGGGAATTTCAGTTACTTCTGAGAATATCTAAGAACAGAAAGAGGTATCTTAAGCTTCAAATCTTGGTAAAATAGCTCATATTCAACATTTGTTGCATATCTTTTACTCTACGTTTATCAAGTTAGTTTATCAAGAAAAGATATATTTAAGATCCTGTTTCAGATTTAATGAGTTGCAATGTCACCCAAGTGAGCCAAGCAGTTCAGAAATTGTCCAAAGTCACTTCCATACAGAAAGTTCCTCAACTGACAAGATAATCCCTTACATCAGAATTGCTTACTCACTTCTGTCCTATCCTCCCTCTTGTTTTTGCATATAGAATTTGCCCTTATTGGTAGAGAAATGGCAATTCTTGTTTGATTAGTCATCTGAGATTGTCAAACACAGGAAACAAGTAGAATAGATTAAGTTTCTATATAATGTGCATTACATGTGCTAGTGTTACAGATGAACCCCAATACAAGATAAACTGAGGTGGACCCCAGAAACCCAGTCAACACTGAAGCACGTAACAAGTAACTGTATGCATGAAGCAGGAATACAGTATCATTCCTACCCCCTTTGTCATGTATTGGAAAGGATGTGGCCTGCAGAATAACTCACATGCTAGATAGAGTGTTAAAATATTTTGTTTAAAAAGGTCTCTCAAGTTTTCTAAATGGAGCCACAGAGTCATCTTTGGTTAAGACCACTAGAATATGCATTCTCTTATTCCTCCCTCTATAAATTCAAGGTTTTTTTATAGTTACACCAGTATGGAAAATTCTGTGTTTGCAAATAACTATACAAACTCCATCAATATTTAGACTTGGTTTTCAAGGGAGAAAGATCTTTGCAGGAACCATGACAATTTAATTGTTTTCCTAGCTGGTACCCCAAAACCTTAATTTATCCTTTCCAAACACATGCAACATTTTTTCAAATTAGATTGCTGTCCCCCATCCTACGTTTTTATTCCTGACATAGTAGGGCATCTATAACAATTAAGATGTGTTTTCCAGAAGGTTTGTTTGTTGAACAGTTCAACTGGACAACCTACTACTACTTTTGTTTTGGTTCGGTTTTTTCATTTTCTTTTTTCAAGTCTTTGTGCTCAAACCACAACTTGTAGTATTACTATAATGAATGTATCGGTGTCAGTGACTATCAAGCATCTCAACTGGTTTACTGAGGTTACATGCAGTATCCTTTGTACTGTTCCCTTTGATACATTATTTATCAACTTTAAAAGGAAAAACTGCTTTCACTTAAAGTACACAAAATATTTGCTCCTTCACTAATGCTCCCCATGCTGAAGAAGCATTCTGTTTTGCAGTATGAATCCAACACACTCAAACATATTGTCCCTTAGGTTTGTATACACATGTATGTTGTGTAAAGTCCCGTAGACAAACTCCTTATACATTTGATATGCAATTTGGGCACAATATGCCAAATTCAGTCAGATCAGTCTATGTAGGCCGTATTTTTAATCAAAGTAAGACTACTTCTAGATACCATAATATTTTATGCAACTTTTGTGGTTTGGTTGTTGTTGTTTATTGAAGTTGTTCTACAAATGTTATGTCTGCTTGTTAGAAAGCAAGAAGGAGAAACTAGTTTTGTTCCTTCTCTTATTAGATGGCACTACTGTTTGGAATATGAATAACTGTTTAGAGGGATGGCATTTTTAACCTATACAATAGAAATAAAAAAATTGTAAAGCTATGCTCTCACTAACTTGTTTCTTGACCTTCTTCCTCAAGGAGGTCAACTTCCTCTGTTGGACCTGTAATAATTAAGCAAATACTCCCAGTAAAAAAAAAACCAAAAAAAAAGGCACATGCACAGGAACTTTTTGGGATAACTTTTCTCAGAAATTCTCAGAGGACATAACAATCTGCACATCCAGGATAATGGAGTTTCAAACCCACAACATTATCAGTAACTGTCACATTCTGTTCTCCAGCAGAATAGTTTTTCAGAGGGCTGAAACATGAGATAGAAACAAATGGAAGGAAGATTCAGAGGAAAATGAACCAAACCCAAAAGGGATATCAAAACCTATGAGCATTACAGCATTTCTCTACTTTCTCAACTTTATCCAAAACTGTTTATCTCCCACAGAAAAGTATTTTATAATAAAAACCATGTTGAGAATTTCCTCTTGAAAAGAAACTTGTGAGCAAATGTCACAATCAGCCATTATTAGTATCTCAAAACCCATCCTAAATTATTTTCAAATGCATGAAGTAGCCCAAAATTAAAACGGGAACCATGATTCTTTAACTGGCTGTATTAAAAGTTACCAGCAGAAGTTCAGCTGGCTGACATTCAGATTTTAGGTCTTCTTACTCATCTGTGCTGTAATGCATGAATCATCTGTGCATTTGGAGTTTGTTTTAAAATATTTTAAAACCAAACAATTAACTACAGAGGTACATGGATATGCAGTAACAGTAAGTGTGATGGCTTTTGTGATACTGATGCAAGTAAACTACCACATGTATCAAAATGTTTTATTAATTTAAAAAATTACCGTTAACATAAGGAAGATGAATGCAGTTATTCCTAGAATGAGGATTTCTTTATTCCCTTTGCTTTCTGCATGCAACTTGCGATAATATGGTCCTATGAGATAAGTCTTTATAACAAGACATACAATAAAAACAGCAGCCAGAGAAAAGAGAATTTGGCCAATCAGTATCAGTATTCTCAGTATTTCCTTGAAAATGCTGGAAGAGAAGAACAAACAAAACATTTCTTTCAAGTGCTCTCATGCCTCCCAACAAGTTCCCCTTAAGTGAAAAGATTTAATTCTACAGATGTTCAAAACTAGCCACAATAAGATGTTTAGATAAATTAGTAAAAAAGAGAAAACTAAGTGCCAGCAATCTCTTTTACAGCCTAGAATTTACTTCCATGTTGATTCAAAAAGAGTTTTGTTGATTGATCTTCAAGGTCAATCAATGAGGCTCAACAATACTCCATAATACAAAAATATGTCTTGAGGGAATAAAGTAACTGAAGAAATTAACTTATTCTTTACAATAACAAATTTTCACTACAAATTTTAAGTACTGGACAGGACTAAGGCAGCTAGAGCAGAAAGAATATCCTCATACAACATGACAAGTACAAATAGTAAAGGGAACTCACAGAACAGCGTGTGTATTTTTCATGGAACCAACATTAACGGTAGGGCTTTCATATTTGTATTTGCAATCTCCATACTAATTGGAAGGGGATGGGGGGAAGATACATACAATAATTTTTTTTACCTGGAATATGTGCTCACTCCTGCTTGAATAAGTGTAGGCATGACAGCTATAAATAAACCAAGCTGCACATCCTGCATCACCAACATGCCAAGTAGTACACTACTGTAGTCAATATCCCCTGTACACCAACAAAGCAGTCATGGAAACATTCATCAGAATCTATGAATGCTTGCAGTGCTCAGAAATCTAGAAATGTCTTAATCAAATGGAGGCTAAATATAGTTCTCAATGGGGTGAGGTCATTCAAAGCATTCTGGGTTTTTTTCCCCACCAAAGTAAATTAAAATATGCATAAATAAAGATACATTAAAATATAAATAAAATATTTATATGAAGCTTCTGTTACACAACAAAAATATAGACTTTGCTTAGCAGTTAAGCACTAGTTATACATTTACTGGAACTCTTACTGAAAACATACAGTCTTTAGAATAACAGACACATGTAGAGCCAGCACATGTAAAATACACACTTTGAATTTAGGGATTAGAATATGAATATTCTAGGGGGTGGGGAGAACTTTAATGCAGTGTGTATGAGGGAGATTTAAGTGGAAGAAAGCAGGATGGCAAAACTTTTGAAAGGAAACATTTAGAAGTCTTTGAGAAGCTAGCAATATGGCACTTGAAAGTACTTATCTGAAGAGCTGTTAGCTATGAAAGACTACCTGAGCTGCTCTTAGTTTGCTGAAGAACGATGTGAATCCTTTAAGTTAGCCTTTCTGCCCTGATGACAGAGTGGTAGTAATGGTCAAACCTGGTAACCTCTTAAAAGGCAAAAAGATTCCAGACCCTCAGTAAAGTCCCTTCTTAACGTGGAGAGCAGTGATTGGGCTACACTGTCTTTCTCCAAAGAGGACTGGCTACATAAACAGCAGGCACACCTCATAACAAGAATATATGCAACACTGGCCAGTGTTAAAGGAGGTCGACTGCTTGTAAACCAGACTTAATGGAGGGGGTTCTGTTTTGTTTTGTCTCATTTTTTAACTAGTTTCTCTCCTAATATTACAAAGTCTACTTCTTTCAAATTTTATTGTAGATACTACAGTAGTCCATATCTAAAATCATACTTACCTTCTTTATCTCCTCGAACACTACCTGCAAGAAATCTTGACACCAGTGGCGTGCTTGATAAAGATAAACAAGTGGAAATGAAGACACTTTGTGTTGGTCTAATTTGGAGCAAGTGTCCCCATAGTAAACCAAAGGCAATCATCAGAACTGTCATGTAGCAGGGTCCTTGCAAAGATATTTTCCATACCTTGGGAAGAAGACAAGTTCTTATGATAAAGTCTGAGGACACTTTTCTCACTGATAAGTTACAATGATTTTCAGTGCAAATAAGCAGTTAAAGATGCATGATGTGGGGCTGCAGTGCTGGGCCACAGAAGTAATGTGCTGCCATCCTATACATCCTAAAACTCTGAAGTTATTATGCCTAGTAGATAATATTCTATGCCAGAAGGCTCATTACCACAAATCAGGTAAATTTCACAGAGCTCACAAACAAATTAAGGGCCAAAGGTCCAGTATGAATTGAAATATATTAAAATCATCAAATGGAAGAGCAGTTATTTGATGTGACTCCAGGGTGGGGAAAAAAATGGGAGTGGCAAAGACCATCATCAATACCTGCTCTACGCTAGTGAGCACACAATTCTGAAGTAATAATTTACATGCTACAGTTTAGGAACCCTTGAATTACTGATTTTTATCTTTGACTTTAGATGGACTAGAAATAGCAGGTTAAGCTGAATGCTCATAAATTTTAACACATTTCAATTAAGGCTTTTATAGTCTTATGAACTCACAACCATCAGTTTAGGAACAAATCACACAATGCGACTCTTTACATACGTACAGTCTTTACATATTTTGCAGCAGTATTTTCCACTATTAAAATTCTAGCTGGTTTATGAGATAACTTTTTTTTTTTAATTAAGACCAAAAGACACTTGTACTTTTTTGCTGAATCCTGATGGCCACATCATGTAATATTCCAGATTGTGCTAACAATACTGGCAGAATCAGTTTGTTAGCCAGTACAGCATGTATCATCAATTCAGTATGCAGTACTTAACAAACTGATTTTTTTTTTTTTATTTTATAACAGGACTGGCAAAGATCACTGGACACTCCATAACAGCAACTGCATGTTACTCCATTTTAAAATAAAACAGAGATAGATTGCCATAAATTGTGTGAGATTTTTCTAGTAATCAAACTGTTTTAATAAAATGAAGAGGAATAGCAAACATTTTTTTTGAGACACTGAATAAATAACGCTTTCTGTTCTTTCCAAAGAGTTAAGAGAAGAAGCAAATGTCATATTTGTCTTTTCAAAAATGTACAAAGTTACCAGTCTATTATAGGGAGAATGTAAAAATCTGAAATATAACTGGTAACTTGAACATTAGCAATTAAATCCTATAATGTAGAGGTATTATACGAAAATACCTTTCTTAATCTTTCAGGAGAAAATTCCAGACCAACTAGAAAGAGGGTGAAGAATACACCAAATTCGCCTAACGTCTCCACCTGTACAATAGACTTTAAAAAAAGTAAAATAAAAATCAGTGCACAGCAGTCTACTTACAATACAAATTATAAGTCCACTTGCAAAACAAATTGTTTCTCATTATGTTTCCATAGGTAGTTCACTTGATGGTTATACAACATCAGAAGTTCCCTCAGCATCTTTAGAGTTCAAAGATTTTTCCCCATCGCCTGGCTACTACTAGATAATTTGGTTGGATAGTGCTGGTCACCCAAAATGCACATGCGCTAGGTAAGCTTGCTTGCTTGTTGAAAATAAACAGGTTACGTTTTATGCATATGCTATTAAACTCCCAAGGCTTACATTCCAGAAGTTACTTCTGGATAGTTATTTTATTGGTCTATTGATGTAATCATTCTGCTAGACTGTAGTTGCTGTTCTGCTCTCAATCCTATAGACTCCATGCACCCATCTCTCAGACCAGTACAGCTACCGGCCTTTGCACTTCAGAGAGAAGGATGCAACAGCAAGAAAAGTGGTTGTCTTCCTTGTCACAATAAAAACCCCTAACATTTCTTTTCTATGTATTTACAGTCCAGAGCAGAAGAGGACAGGGTCTATCATCAATCATAGAGAAGTGGAGATGGAAACTATCTTCCCTGCCAGATTAGAATCTGCCTGCCTCCTCAGTTCCTCCGACATTCAACTTTTTTATGAAATAAAAAGACAAAAGAGAAGAGACAAAAGGAGCGTACACACACAAGACGCAGTCAACATGAACATTATCCAGATGTATAATGTTTAACCACAGCTCCACAAGAAACAGGCAGTTCACTAAGAAACTGTCCTAAAGAAATCCCTCTCATGTCTGTTCTGACCACATCATCTTCCTCAGTGTAAGTCTCTGAAAATCCATTGTTGAATCTTATTCTAATGCCAAGCTTACAAACTTGTTTCTCAGTTTATATGGTCAAGCTTTCCAGACCTTCTCAATCCAGAAGTTATGTACAACACAAAGGTTATTATTTAATCTCAATTTCAGAATATGAAAGTTTGGAAGTGTAGTATTTGTAGCTTTCTCTTCCAATATGAGATTGAAAAAATCCTACAATTTCTATTCCTTCCTGCTTACTTTTGAGCCCAACAGTCATTTTCAACAAAAGTCCACTTAAGAGCAGAGGTTGCAAAGACAGTAAGTTCCAAACCGTTACGTGGCTATCAATGTAATAGAGACGCATAACTTAACCAGACATTACCATGCAACCTTAACATGTGTTCTGTTTTGCCTGCTGGCTAAACAATCTGTTAATGCACACCAGACCACTAATCAAAACATGTGCAGTGTCTAGCCAACCACAGCCCACGGTTTCACATGAGCTAGTAATCAGGGTACACGTGATGGAGCTAAAAAGGTTCAAGAGACTTCAGGAATGTGGGCAGGGGACTGGAAAAGAAATAGGGTGACTAGGATGGATGAAAGAACTACAGAGATGCAAAGTAACTCTCTAGGAAGCCAAGCTATGCTACTCAGGGAACGACTTGTTTTAAACACTTCCTCCGCTGCCAACACTGACTTTTTGCAAGTTTCTGAATATTTGATGTTATTTAAATAATTTGTCTCTCTAATGTAATGCTTTGTGATTAAAGACAAAAAGAAAAAAACAAACAAAAAACCCCACAACACACAGCCTTCAGCTTTCACTTTCAACAATTGCTTATGTCATGATTATATAGGAGAAAAAAATTGAAACCGAAGTGATACAAAAGACATAAAATTTTAAGGCCTCGTTTTGCAAAGGTTCAGGTTTGGGCATTTTTTTTTTTTTTAAATACATTTAATGTATACATATATATACACACATTTAATAGATAGATATACATATTTAATAGATATGCACATTCAATAATACATTACCATATTCTTTTAAAACTACTTTTAAAGATTTCAACAAATTAAATCAGGGAAGAAGCAGCTTGCGCACTTACCTTGATACTATTTAGTCCTGATGGTCCTAAGAGTACTCCACAGATGATATACCCAAACATGGTTGGCAATCCTATTGTTGTGCACAGCCAGCCACATGGCAAAGACAACATTCCTATTGTCACAATATCCTAAATATGTAAGATTTACAAATGTGTTAATAGAAAGGACACACAAATTTGTCATGAAATTAAAGACTACTATCTTTCAAAAGATAAACAGCATTGTAAAATTAAATGTAGAATACTGCCCGTTAAAAGAAAACACAACTTCAGTAAACTAACCTGAACACTTTGTTGTAGGTGTAAGCACTGCAGTTTTGCAGATGAAGCAGATGAGGTATTGACCTTAAGTGACTGGTAGCTTTGGGGACTTTTGATCAATCATAGAATCATAGAACTCTTTAGATTGCAAAAAGACCTTTAAGACCATCCAGTCCAACCATTAACCTAA